CCGACCCCCCCCCCTCCTGCCCCCTGTGCCCAGCTCAGCGGCCCCCGAGAGGAGCCGATCCCCCCCCCCGCCTACCCTCCTGTCCCTGGCTCAGTGACCCCTGAGAGGAGCCGACCCCCCCCCTGCCTGCCCTCCTGTCCCCGGCTCAGTGACCCCCAAGAGGAGCTCTCACTGTGGTGGCAGGGTGACAGTGCAGGTGTTTGCTCCCAGGGGAGCTGACCTGCAAAGTCAGAGGTGCCAGCCCCAGATCAGGAGGCAGGGGTGCCATCCCCAGAGTGTGTCAGACTCAGGGGGCTGCCTGCTGCCGCCCAGCTCCTGAGCAGGCACAGCCCAGGGCAAGGTCACCTCAAGGTGGGGGCACGCCCTCAGGCTGAGCTCGCCAGGGAGGGTGAAGAGGAGGAGCCTGTCGTGGCCCAGGAAGTAGGTGTCCCCTGTCTTGGTTTCCGGGCCTGGACTCGGAGCAGCATCTGGAAAACTTGGCTGAGGGGAAGTGTGGCTGCCCCACTGCACCCACTGGTTTCTGCTGTGGGCTCTGACCTGGTGCCAGGCTCGTGAGCGTCAGTGTGTGAGGGAGAGTGTGTGTGTGTGAGCAGATGGGGTGCGTGAGTGTCTGTGAGGGATGGTGTGTGTGTGTGAGCAGATGGGGTGCGTGAGTGTCTGTGAGGGACGCTGTGTGTGTGTGTGTGAGCAGACGGGATGCAGGTGGACGTTAGTGTGTGAGGGACTCTGCGTGTGAGCCGACGGGGCGTGTGAGCATCAGTGTGTGAGGGAGGCTGTGTGTGTGAGCATACGGGGTGTGTGAGCCGACGGGGCATGTGTGCAGACGGGGTGTGTGAGCGTCAGTGTGAGGCACCGAAGGCTGAGTGAGGGCAGGTTCGCGCTGAAGCCAGTGGGCAGCTGCAAGCCCGGCTGGCTCAGCACAGCGAGAGGACGTGAGCCGCAGGCTGCTGGTGGCATAGAGTAGCTGCAGGAGCGTGCTGTATGGAAGTTAGGTCAGCTCGGTCGCTCTTGCAGCGTCTGGCCTGACCTGTGGCGAGGTGAAGTCTGGGTTCGCGTGGGCTTTGGGGCAGCGTCAGGCTGGAGGTCAGGGTGCCTTCTGTGGGGAGCGGGAGGCATGCTATAGTGTGAGTCCTCCGACGTTTCTGGGGGTCCTCCTGCTATGAAACAGGACGAGACTGGTGTTTGCTGCCGCAGCTGGGGGTTCGCCTGGGACCCCGGTGCCCCGGGTTGGGTCGGTGCCCCAAGCTGAGTGCCCTGGGAGCAGCATGCCTGCTTTGGGCAGGGGTTCTGCCTGTGGGAGTTCCTGGCCTGGCCCGCTCATCATGGGCACTTGGGGGGTAGATGAGTGGATGGGGGTTTTCTGTCTCTGCATTCCACAGTTGAATGAGTCTGTCAGGACTTACTGCTGAAGAGAACTGCACCTGTTGCTGAGGGGAGCAGGGCTCTAAGAAGGGGCACCTGGTTGGCTGGGCACAGAGTACTGAGAGGACGGCGGCTTGTGGGTTGTCATTTTAATCAGAATCCCCAGTGGGGGGGAAATTGAATTAGTGATTAATTCGGAAAAAATGGGTGAATATATGGTAGGTAAGTGACATTTAAAAAGTTAGGAAAAAATCTGGCTTGTCATAATGAAGTGTAAACATGGCTGACATAAAGCAGCTAGGTTTTGGGGGAGACTTGGCAGGCATGTTGTGGGGTGTGCTCATGCAGCCCTGATCAACTGAAGATTGGCACAGTTGGCTGTCTGCCGTGCCAAGGCAATACCCTGAGGGCTCAAGGGTCGTGGAGGACACAGACCCTGGGACAAGGCGCTGGATTCCTCACGTTCCTCAGGTGGTTGGTGGCTGGCCCATGCCCCGCACTGGCTCGGGAGCAGGGACGCTGAGAGCTTCTGCAGGAGATGTGGGTGTGCCGTGAGTGTGTGGCCTGGAGTGGCGTCCAGGGAAGCCCCTGTTGAATCCAGCACCCAGGCTGAGCGTGGGGTGACCAGGAGCTGCCGGGCGGCCAAGCTGAGGGTGGGGGAGGGGCTGAGGCTGAGGTGATGCTGAGGGCCTGGGATGGAGGGGCCGGGCGTGCCTTGGGGCTGCCCCAGTAGCGTTGGCCCCCAGCAGACAGGAGCTGACAAGTGGGAGTGTGCTCCAGTGTAGTGAGGAGTCTGGTTGGGGGAAGTGTGTGTGGCTGTGTGAATGGGTGGCGTGTACCCATGTGCACTGTGAGCACAGCTGCACGCAGGGGCTAGGGATGTGACACTGACATGATGTGGACACACCCAGGTGATGCTCAGGAGACGTGCGAGAAGGCCAAGGGCGATGTGCGGCCAGGGCTGCACTGACACAGCCCTCTGCTCAGCAGGCCCCTGGCTGGAGGCAACACTGTCACTGAGGGAGTCGCCTCACGGAGCAGACACCGAGTCCCATGGCAGACAGGGACAGGGGACAGGTTTCATCCTAAAGATGGATTTTTAAAAATTTATTTGAAAGGCAAAGTTGCAAAGAAGTGGGTGGGGAGGAGAGATACTGAGAGATGAAGAGGTTTTTCCATCTGCTGGTTCACTCTGCAAATGCCTGCAGTGACTGGAGCTGGGCCAGGCCTAAGCCAAGCGTCAGAACTCCATCTTGGCCTCCCGCATGGGTGTAGGGCCTGAAGGCTCTTCCAGACACGTCAGTATGGATTTTGGAAGTAGACTAGCTGGGTCCTGAACTGCTGCCCAAATGGGATGTTGACATCACAGGCAGAGGCTTCTTTCCTATAGATCACAGAGCCAACCCTGTAGATACAATATTTCACATGTAAAGAGTGCATGGAAGTTAATCAGGAAAACCCGGCAGGCAGGACGTGTGAGCAGTGTAGGGACCGGCAGTTCACAGGAGGCGAGCAGGCAGGCAGGACGTGTGAGCAGTGTAGGGACCGGCAGTTCACAGGAGGCGAGCAGGCAGGCAGGACGTGTGAGCAGTGTAGGGACCGGCAGTTCACAGGAGGCGAGCAGGCAGGCAGGACGTGTGAGCAGTGTAGGGACCGGCAGTTCACAGGAGGCGAGCCCAGGAGTCCTCAGTGCACAAGCATTGCGAATGCAGAAGGAACAGGCTAAGTCAGTACAGGACAGTTCTTCTCATCAACACAGTGGTTTTATACAACCAGAAGAGTGGTAGGAAAAGTTCAGTGAAATGTATCAAATATCTTAAAATGTTTGTCTTTTAATTCAAGAACAGTATTTCTGCAGAAAACAGTATTTCTCTGTAGAAAAATGACTCCAGCCTTGGATTCCTCCCAGCCCCACTCTAGAGCCAAGGAATTCTCATTGACTGAGCTCGGAGGGCACAGGGACAGCTGCGTTAACGTGTGGCTGGAGGAGCAGGGTGCTGGGAGGAGGTGGACTGGCTGCGGGCATTGTGAGCTCTGGACACTGCATCCCTGAGCTGTGCACACTGCATCCCTGAGCTCTGCATCCCTGAGCTGTGCACACTGCATCCCTGAGCTCTGCACACTGCATCCCTGAGCTGTGCACACTGCATCCCTGAGCTGTGCACACTGCATCCCTGAGCTGTGCACACTGCATCCCTGAGCTGTGCACACTGCATCCCCGAGCTCTGGACACTGCATCCCTGAGCTGTGCACACTGCATCCCTGAGCTCTGCACACTGCATCCCTGAGCTCTGCACACTGCATCCCTGAGCTCTGCACACTGCATCCCTGAGCTGTGCACACTGCATCCCTGAGCTCTGCACACTGCATCCCTGAGCTGTGCACACTGCATCCCTGAGCTCTGCACACTGCATCCCTGAGCTCTGCACACTGCATCCCCGAGCTCTGCACACTGCATCCCCGAGCTCTGCACACTGCATCCCCGAGCTCTGGACACTGCATCCCTGAGCTCTGGACACTGCATCCCTGAGCTCTGCACACTGCATCCCTGAGCTGTGCACACTGCATCCCTGAGCTCTGCACACTGCATCCCTGAGCTCTGCACACTGCATCCCTGAGCTGTGCACACTGCATCCCTGAGCTGTGCACACTGCATCCCTGAGCTCTGGACACTGCATCCCCGAGCTCTGGACACTGCATCCCCGAGCTCTGGACACTGCATCCCCGAGCTCTGGACACTGCATCCCTGAGCTGTGCACACTGCATCCCTGAGCTGTGCACACTGCATCCCTGAGCTGTGCACACTGCATCCCTGAGCTCTACACACTGCATCCCCGAGCTCTGGACACTGCATCCCCGAGCTCTGGACACTGCATCCCTGAGCTCTGCACACTGCATCCCTGAGCTCTGCACACTGCATCCCTGAGCTGTGCACACTGCATCCCTGAGCTGTGCACACTGCATCCCTGAGCTGTGCACACTGCATCCCCGAGCTCTGCACACTGCATCCCTGAGCTCTGCACACTGCATCCCTGAGCTGTGCACACTGCATCCCTGAGCTCTGCACACTGCATCCCTGAGCTGTGCACACTGCATCCCTGAGCTCTGCACACTGCATCCCTGAGCTGTGCACACTGCATCCCTGAGCTCTGCACACTGCATCCCTGAGCTCTGCACACTGCATCCCTGAGCTCTGCACACTGCATCCCTGAGCTGTGCACACTGCATCCCTGAGCTGTGCACACTGCATCCCTGAGCTGTGCACACTGCATCCCTGAGCTCTGCACACTGCATCCCTGAGCTGTGCACACTGCATCCCTGAGCTGTGCACACTGCATCCCTGAGCTCTGCACACTGCATCCCTGAGCTCTGCACACTGCATCCCTGAGCTGTGCACACTGCATCCCTGAGCTGTGCACACTGCATCCCTGAGCTGTGCACACTGCATCCCTGAGCTGTGCACACTGCATCCCTGAGCTCTGCACACTGCATCCCTGAGCTGTGCACACTGCATCCCTGAGCTCTGGACACTGCATCCCTGAGCTGTGCACACTGCATCCCTGAGCTCCCGCTGAAATCATGGACACTGCATCCCTGAGCTCCTGCTGAAATCAGTGCTTCTTCTATTGTGTTTCTAGATGAAGACAGTCAGCGTGGCCTTAGTCTTGTGCCTGAATGTCGGTGTGGACCCCCCAGATGTTGTGAAGACCACGCCCTGTGCACGTCTGGAGTGCTGGATTGGTGAGTATGGGCTCTGCCTGCATAGGGGCCCATGTACCTGGTGGGACTTGTCCCTTACTGGCCTACCTAGGGGCCCCAGTGCCCAGTAGGACTTGCCTCAAGGGGCCTGGGTGCCCAGTAGGACTGCCCCATCCAGGCTTGCCCTGAGATCCGGGCACCCGGTAGGAGTGCCTCGTCCTGGGCTGCCCTGGGGTCCGGGTGCCCGGTAGGACTGCCCCGTCCTGGGCTGCCCTGGGGTCCGGGTGCCCGGTAGGACTGCCCCGGGAACCGCTAAGTCCTTGTCGATGCAGTCACCTGTAATCCTTGCAGGGAAGGGATTTCAATGAATCTAGTAAGATGTTGTTTCTTGACTCAGGTAAAGTTCTCTCTGTCTTTTGAGGGATTTATTTATTTGTATCAGAAAGGCAAATTTACAGAGAGAAGGAGAGACAGCAGACCTTCCCTCTGCTGGTTTACTCCTCAAATGGCCACAATGGCTGAAACTGGGCTGATCTGAAGCCAGGAGCCTCTTGTGGATCTCCCACGTGGGTGCAGGGTCCCAAGGCTTTGGGCCGTCCTCTGCAGCTTTCCCAGGCCACAGGCAGGGAGCTGGATGGGAAGTGGGGCAGCTGGGACATGAACTGGCGCCCATGTGGGATCCTGGCACCTGCAAAGAGAGAATTTAGCCACTGAGTCATTGCACCGGGCCTTTCTCCTTTTCTTTTTCAAAATACTTCCTCTTGTTTTCTTCTCATTTGAAGGAGTCAGGGAGAGGAGCGAGCGTCCACTTGGTTTGCGCCCACAGCAGTCATAGGAGCCTGGCAGAGTACTGGGGCCTTGGTGTGGCACTCAGGCCTGGCCTCGCAGGGCTGTCTTACCTGCCATGCCACGTGCCCACCTCTCATTTTCCTTTTAAATTTGCCCTGTATCTGGCACTTCAGAGTAGTTTTAAATACTGCGGGGCAAAAAAAGGAGTAACTGATATGTGCCTGAAAATTTATTTATAGAAAGGTGAATTGAACCATTTCCAGCAAAACATTGTACAATATGTCACCAGCACAGTAGCTAGTGTTTGCCGGGTTCTGCTGGAGGCCGTGTGCGCTGATGACTCATTCCGTCTCAGCAGCCCCAGTGGCAGCTTCCATTCCTAGCTGTCCATTTCAGCGCTGAGGGTAGTGAGGCTGGTACTCAGCTTGCCAGAGTTGTCCTGCAGGTGGGTGGCAGGGCCAGGGCTGAGCCAGGGCGGTTCCGTTGCACCAGAACATGCAGGACATTCCGAACCGCAGGGCAGCCCACACATCTCCTTCCTGGAGAGCGACTGACTTGCAGGACAGTTACAGAAATGGAGGCGTGACAGACACCGTGACGGGATGGAAGAGTCCGTCTCCCTGTGGCTGCGGCTGCTGCGCCGGGGCTGAGCCGGGGCTCCCTGCAGGTGCAGGACCCAAGCATTTGGGTCATTGTCCATGCCTTCCCAGGTGTGTTAGGAAACATCTGGGATTGGAAGTAGAGCAACTGGGAAATGAACTGGTGCCCGATGGGATGTTGGCATGACGCATAGCAGAGTGTAGCCCATTGCAGTGCAGTGCCAGCCCCATATTCCAGACATTTAGACGATTTTTAAAAATCTACTTGAAGAGTGCAGAGAGAGAGAGAAAGACAGACTGATTTTTTATTCATTATTTTCCTCCCCAAATGAAGCTAGGGCTGGGCCAGGCTGGAGCCGGGAGCCCAGAACTGTGTCACTGGCAGGCGCCGAGGCACTTAGGCCGCCGTCTGCTGCCTTTTCAGCACGCGTCAGCAGGAAGGTGTATCCAAGCTAGGGACATCGTAATGGTGTCTTAACCCACTGTGCCACAGCACTCTGTAATGATTCCAGGTGTTTCCATGTGACCGTCACCTCCCGAGGCACAGCTTTCTTGCAGACACCTGGAGGAGGCACGTCTTGGAGGGCGTGGGAGTCCTGTCTTGGGCTTTGAGCCTTTGGTACCGCATTAGCCACTTTCTCTTGACTTCCTGGTGGAGGTGTGGGGAGGCTCCCGGGTCTCGTCTTGCGGACCCCCACAGCCTCGGCGCTCTGCCAGGGCTGGGCGCTGCTGTCACAGCGCTCTGGCCTGTAGGACCCATGTGCTCTGCTGTGGTCTTTCCACATCCTGAGCGGGACACCTCCTTCAGAACAGAAGGTGCTGTGTTGGAGGCGGGTACAGAGAGACAGTGTCCACTCTGATGACTCAGCTTCGCTTCCCGGCGCACTGCTCCTGGCCCCTCACCTGCCTGTTTCCCGGGTATATCAGCAGGGAACTGGGCCGGAAGGAGGCTGAGCAGCTGGAGCTAGAACCGGCCCTGACAGATGCTGTCACACATGGCAGGCTAGCCTGCAGTGCCACAGTGGTGCGCCCCTCCTTTGTTCCTGTAGCAGACGTTCCAGATGCTGCCAGCGTGCTTCGAGGGAGAACTCTTTCTGCCTGCGGAAGGCGGCCTCTGTGGCAGCACTTTCCATGCCCAGCCCTCTGGCCTCCGTCTGGATCTGTGCCCTCCCTGGTGCCTGCACGGTGGGCATTAGCCCCTGCTGACTGTTGCCACATCATTTGTCGCTTGTCACAGCAGAGTATAATCAGTTGCGTTCTGCCTTCTTCCTCTCGAACTGCCCTTAGGTCCTTTAGAATGAGGCTTCCTCGCCCAGGATCCTGTGCGCACTCCTAGAGACACCGGGTGCCCCAGACATGCGCGTGGTGGTCTCGGGGTGCAGCTGTGTCTGGGCTGGGGGTCCCGTGTTTGTTAGACCTTCCATGAACCTTTCCTCACATCCCCAGGGAGCCCCCACAGAAGCCCCTTCCCAGTTTCTTCCGGAGCCACACGGTGGGAGTGTGAAGGAGAAGGGCAGCCTGGCCTTGTGTCTGCCTCAGCAGCTCCGTGCAGGCTCTGTCATCGCAGGCCCTCCTACGTCCGATGTGACCACAGTCCTGCTTGGCTCTTAGGACGACACAAGTGGGCCTGTCTTGGTCATGAGGACTTGCCGAGTGCTTCAGGAAGAGCCTTGTGGCGTGTGGCTTGGGGACCAGGCTGCGGCTGGGGGTGTCTGTGGGCCAGGCCCTGTTCCCAGCTTCCTGTGGGTGGTGACTTGGGAGATGGCGGGGGTGCCTCCAGTCATGCTGCTGCCACCCTGGGGACAGTTACCAGCTGTTAGCTCCCGGCCTCAGCCTGCCCCACTCTGGAGCGTGAGCCAGCAAGTGAGAGCTGTTTGTCAAGTTGAAAAAGGATTTGAGGGAGCAAATTCAGATGGGGTGCGGCAGTCCATGTTTTACTTGTCATTTTGACGGAGCTGCAGGAGCTGCTAGCAGTGTTCTGGCAGCGTGTGACTTGGAGCCGGCCAGGGGCGGTCGCCGTCCCTGCCGAAGACTGAGCTGTGTCCTTCCTGCAGCCCAGAGCCCTCAGTGCTGTGCTCTGCTTTGCTCGTCTGCCCAGGGTGTCCCAGGCAGCTGCAGGAGCTGGGCCAGTGCCCCGTGCCTCTGACTCCCAGTGCAGGCCCAGGCTTGCCGCCTCGGAGCTGCAGGCTCGCTCCATCACCAGTGTTCTTGTGGTTCCGTTTAGGTCACGCCTCTTCAGGCACGTCAGAGGAAAGCCGCTGTCTCCACAGGGCGTCCTGGCAGCCAGCACGCGGCTTTGATTTATCCCATTAAGGGCCTCGCCACTCTTTTCTTGGTCTAGATTAAGTGGGCGCGCACCGGACTTCACTGGGAGCTGCCTTTGTAGCTGCTGCGAGTGCTGGGGAAGGAAGGCTTTGAGCCCTGGGCTCCCTTTGCCGGCACGCTGCCTCTCATGTCCTCCTCCCTCCAGATTGTAGTCTGGCCTCGCAGCTGCCTGCTGCTGAGCGTGGCCTGCTGCTGAGCGCGGCCTGCTGCTGGAGGGGCGGCTCTGGCCCCGGGTGGCTTCTGCCGCTCTGAGCTCCTCCGCACTGCCTGTCTCCCCCGGCTCCGCCTGCCCCAGGGCAGCAGCCGCTCGCCTTGCGGTGCCTGCTCTAGCCCCATGGCACGCGACCCACAGGAGCTTCTGTGTGTGGCTCCCAGGCCTTCTGACAGAGCGGGGCATGCGTGCCCACATGTGTGAGGAGCTAGTGAAGCGCTTGTGAGCTCTCAGGGTCACACATGTCCTCACTCAGGGTCACACACACGTGTCCTCACTCAGAGTCACACACACGTGTCCTCACTCAGAGTCACACACACATGTCCTCACTCAGGGTCACACGTGTCCTCATTTAGGGTACACACACGTGTCCTCACTCAGAGTCACACACGTGTCCTCACTCAGGGTCACACACGTGTACTCACTCAGGGTCACACATGTGTCCTCACTCAGGGTCACACACGTGTCCTCACTCAGGGTCACACATGTGTCCTCACTCAGGGTCACACACGTGTACTCACTCAGGGTCACACATGTGTCCTCACTCAGGGTCACACATGTGTCCTCACTCAGGGTCACACACGTGTACTCACTCAGGGTCACACATGTGTCCTCACTCAGGGTCACACACGTGTCCTCACTCAGGGTCACACACACGTGTCCTCACGGAGGGTCACACACACGTGTCCTCACTCAGGGTCACACATGTCCTCATTTAGGGTACACACACACGTGTCCTCACACAGGGTCACACGTGTCCTCAGGGTCACACACACGTGTCCTCACACAGGGTCACACACGTGTCCTCAGGGTCATGCACACACGTGTCCTCACTGGGGTGATGTTCATGTTGTTTCATGGTATCATTTTTTTAATTTTTAAAAAGGTTAAATTTTATTGCCAAATCAGAAATAGAGGAGGAGAGACACTGAGGAAGATCTTGAATCCAATGATTCATTCCCTGTTGCATCGTATCTTTAGGGCACTGGCTTAGGGCCGTTCTTGGATACCCAGATCCACAGAGTTCATGTCTCTGAATGAATCGCACCGGCTAGCACCACAGCCTCTCCATCCCACCTGGCTCAGATCCTGCAGGCCAGCAGTGGGTGGGAACCTCT